CAGGGGTTAGGAATTCAAAACCTGAAAATCATACAACTAATGTTTCTCCAAAAAAAATCATACAAATAAATCACATAGATGCCTATAAGTTTGGAATGCAAGCATGACTTGCAAAAGCAAAGTGCAAGAGAGCGGAGATTATATAACGTTGAAGAGGAAAAGCAGAGAACGGGGTAGAAATCGCGTATCGAGTCCAGGTGAAGGCAAAAGGCACGGCAGTGTGACTGCCCGCTGCCTGTCGCTGATATCAGTGACCTCAGAGTCGATGAAAGTAGCCATGGAGATTGAAGAATGTGTTGATTTGAGAAGATGAAGATACAAAAGCTGAAATAAGGTTAGGACTTCCAGTTTCGAGAACTAACCTCGGAACGATGATTCTATTGTCGTGGGCGCCGCCGCTGCTCTGTGAGAATATAAGAGAAACCGTGAATGAGTAGAGAGACTGATAAGCGTGCTATGTTTTTGGTTTTAGTAGCAAAGCGAAGGGTGAAGAAGGGAGGCCCGTCGGGAGCAACAGAAGAACTGGATTAATTTACAACTTAGTCCTCAACTTTGGATCTTATTTTCTAAGTAGTCCTTAACTTTATAAAGGTTTAAAATTGAACCTCAACTTTTTCAATTATATTGCAACTTCCCAAATAATATCACATTAGTAGAGAAGCTATAGAACTAAAAGAAATAGTTAGGTGCATCCAGCATTTGATTCATATGATACTTCTCTATTTTCGCCAAAATGGAGGTTTAATTTGTGTTTAGTATAAAAGTAAATATGTATTATGTTGTATTAAAAAAAAAAATTAAGTGGTTTACCTCTCGCTTTTATACACGTAATTTTATAGATCTTACTATATTTTTTTAGTTTTTTAAGAAATTTTAGTACTAAATGTTTTTTTTATTTGTTTATTTGTAATTAATATTTACTAGCAAAATATGAGAAAAATTAATTTTTAATTATAAAGCTTAATATGATTAATAAAAAAATTTAAAAATATATAGAAAAATGAGGCAAAACTTACAAAGTTGAGAACCACTAATTTATATAGGTATCTTAATTTTATGGCATAACTAGTTGGAAGTAAATGACATTTGTTAAATTTATATATGTTAGTTTTTTTATATTATCGAAATAATAAACATATGTTAATGTGAGATTATCTATCAACTGAAATAATTTAATATTTCATAATAGTACTTAAAAATTTATATTAAAAAAAATTAAGTTATCAATACATATTATTTAAATTTTATTTTGAATTATCATTTAAAGTCTATACAAATTAAACTATAAATCATTGTACTTAATCTTAATGTTTTGTTTTATTTTATTGTTAAAAAATAATATATTCAAAACAATAAATAATTTTTTAAAAATATTATCAACTACTTTAATTATTATTAAGAATGTACTGCAGATATAATTAATAGGATGATATTTTATTAACTTACTTCTTCAAGTTATAATATCATATAAATGATATGTACTTCTTACGACGCATAATATTATTAATTTTGTGATTATTCTAGTATAGTATCTTCAATGGTAAAAAGTTATTTTTATGATTCAAAATATTGTAATAAGTGGTGAATTAAGATTTTTTCTACACAAAATTTTGATTGAATTTGACTATTTGTCATTTTTTTTTTTAACATTTAGTTTATTTTTACGTGACTCATACG